TACTCAACCAATTCAATTATGTTCAAGTGGTTTTGATTTTAGAAGTAGTTCTATCTGATGAGACTTGTTGTTTTTATACACTTTGCTCTCTATAGCCTATTAAGCTTCCCTGAAAAATGTTCAAAGTTCTCTCCAGCTGCCAATTTGTACATAATTACCACAGTAAGCCATATTATGTTACTCTCTCTCCCCTATCACTCACTCTATCTTACTCTCTCTCTCTCTCTGTGCCATCACTATCACTAGAATACAATTTAATTGAGGGTTGCCATTCTTTCCTGAGGTCTATTGTGCTCTCTATATAATATACATACAAAGACCCAGCACTCTTACGAATTACACGAACTTGAAGTGCTGTGACCCATATTCACCAGATACGAAAATCCAAGCGCGTTAAGCTTGCGCCTACAGATCGCTGTGCAAACTAAGTAGAATCAGGTGCTCAGGACTTCTCGCTTTCATGTTGTAAAACCGATAGTTTGTACCAGGAACCCATGCCCATGTTGGACAGGTGCTTCATGAGCCTGAGGTTCCCAGTGTAGAAAGCGACTAATAGTTGAAATTTTTCTCTGGAGAGGTTAATCATGTTTCCACCAAACGTTGTAAGTTCGGAGGTCGCACCCATTAACAGCTTTGTTTGCCACTTTTAATAGGATTGTTCAAAATACTTAATTTTTCGATATAAGAACCCTTATCATCGGCTACTGAGTCCATTTAGATCTACAAAATCTTCAAACTTTTTGGATCCATTTGGAGTATAAAAGATCGACCTTATGGGACACTACTGTGTTGAAGCTCCTTGTTGGAATAACTTTTCAGGTCCGTTCGTAGTATAAAGATCCAATTTGTGTAACACTATTTGGGTCCACGAATTTCCTGGGAATACACCTGCTTATTACCGTATATGAACCAGATCATCGTTAATATGCTAGCTGATCTTGGTATTGCCAAACTTCTACTTGGTATGTACGAATTATTACATTGAAGTTGGCGTTTGTTTGAGAACTTTTATGATTAGAACACCTCCTCTTATTTCAAGGAGCTTTGCTAGCTGTATTTTTTAGCATAAATTATTCCTTACTTCAGTTTTACTATTTTTCACGGATTTTTAGATCGTCTTTCGTGGGAACAAACTTGCTTATTATGTGTACTAGACCAGTGTATCCGAAATATTCTATGGGAGCTTGTTTGTAGTTAGTGTAGTTAGTCGGCTATTATTTCTTCAATGGTTAGAATACCTTCTGTCAGTTCATGGAGCGCTCAGAGCTCTGGCGTTTTAGTATAAATTATTCCTTACTTTAGTTTTTACTATATTTTCATGACGTAGAGATTTCTCCAAATAACTGTTTTTATAATTTTTGAACTGAAAATCATATGCTTGTTCTTTGATTTTTTCAGAATATGCATCATTATAATTTTGATATGATTTCTAAAGTGTCTGAAGTAACTTCTTTCTATCTGAGAGTAAAATTTTGGTTTTGTTTGTGGAATTATAGATTATATCGTCACCTAAAATGCAAAGCAACGTAACATCACTTTTCAAAAATTGGCAGGCGAAAGAAAAACGACATAATAGAAACCACTCTTATGAAACAAAATTTGAGTTTTGGTTATACGAGTATATAGGTTATTATATCTGATAGCGATTTTTTTTTAAATTTTTTTTTTTTTTTTTTGATGATACGCTATTTCGCATTTTAGGTGACGATATTGTATTATAGAAAGACTTTGTCTAGAAATCGACTTGATTTTAGAATTCTCTGTGATCCTAACAGTTCTTGACAGTTTTGGAATTATAGATTATCTTGAGATTTCATCAAGAAATCGCATTGATTTTGGAGATCGTTGTGCACCCAACAGTTCATGACAGTTTAGAGAACTTTCAAAAAAATATTTGAAGGCATAAAGACTGCATATCTCGTGTGTCTTTGAGAAAACTAGTTTGATATAAGAAACATACTTGAAAAAATTGTGTTGGACAACTTCATCTAGGCGAGTTATTTGTTAATATATATTTTTTTATTTTTTTTTTCAGAATATTTTTTTTAACTTATCCAGAACATTTTATATTTCTTTCTTTAAGCAGTATATAACACAACTTTTCGTTAACCTTTAGAAAAACTTTTATTATTATTTTTTTATTATTATTATTATTATTTTTATTAATATTGATATTTAATACAAAAACATACCTTATTTATGTTGATCTCTCAATAAAATGTCCGTGTGTAAAACAGGCATTATACATTAAATTGACATAGTCGTTAATCGGGCATTATTACAGTTAACGCTTTCTAACTTCACACACCAGATTTAAGATTTTTAACGAACATTTCGATAACACAACACTTACAAAGCTTATTTATTTGATTTGTATATGTATATATATATATATATTGTATTGTAACACAAAAGAGTTCTACAAAATATATGATTAACAAAAAATACAACAAGCACAACAACAACAAGTACAACAACGTGGACTTAACCCAAAATACAGGTAGGTACATAAATTATACAAACCCAAGCTAACACCAAAAAAACACCCACAGCGCCACCACCAGCTTGCCGATGTGCCACCAAACTCTCGAGCACTCGTAAAGTTAACTGTAAAAACTTTCAAGTTCATGCTAACCAACCAACCAAAAAACAAAAAAAAAAAAATCAAAATCGAAAACCAGATAAAACAGCAAAATTTCACAACAAAAGCAGAAAGCAAATTAGAACAAGCAGCTGAAACAAAATAACAACAACAGCAAACAATATTTTTAACAATAAACCAATAAATGTACAGCAAAACAAACAACAACAACAACAACTCGTAAGCCATAGCAAATAACAATCAAAAACAAGCACAAAACTAAGAAGTTGGGACAGATTCCATAAAGGATGCAAGAACACAATTGAAATTTCATAGAGAGGAAGAGAAAGAAGGAGGAGGGCGTGTAGCTAAAAGAGCCAGGTCACATATAAAGCACTTAACGAAACCAGAAAACAATCAAACAAACATTAACAATCAAGCCAACAAGCAAACTAGAATGAAATAACAATCAAACTACAACAACAACAATGAAACTACAACAACAAAACAAGCAACTCAAAAATAAAAACCCCTAAAAACCACCAAATATTGCGGACAAACAAAATTTGGAAAACTCCAATAAATTACATAGGCTTGTAGAGACGGTGTTGTGGGGGCTGACTGAGCAGGTGCTGGAGCACAGTTACGGGATGTGCAGTTATTGAATGTTTTGGTCACTAAACAATAAACTTTTTTTTTTGTTTTTTTTTTTGAAATTTGTCATAATGTTTTTACAAAATATACACAAATGCGCCGAAGATAAGTCGAAAGAGGCAGGGAAATTAGCAGAAGTTAGACTTTGTCGTGTCGTTTTTTTTTTTTGTCGTAGACACATGAAATACAAACAAAACCAACAATAAGTGCGCCTAGTTGAGGGATTAGGTTTCAAATATCACTAGAACCTTTCGAACACTAACACAAAACACACAGAAAAGCGCAAAGAAAAACAACAAGAACAAAAATTGGTACTAAAATTTAAACCCATAACTTAAAACAACAAACATTTTGTAGCTTTAACAACAAAAGCACACATGAGAATTGCACACTCAACAATGAAACAATGCGAACACACTACGCACGTAACCAAATAAACAACGTTGCTAACATAAAAAATAATATGATTTGTTAATTTATAATAAACGCAAACGTTAGCTAAGATATGTAGCTATAATAACACAATAGCATTTATTAAAAAATCCAAGAAGGTAGTGTCGAAAAATGGGCTTGAAAAGTGGATTTTAAGACAAGCTCTTAGCGCTCTTTCGCTCAGAAACCGCAAAAAGAATACAAAAACAATAACAACACAAGGAAATTATTTCCGAAAACTACTAGTAACAAAAACACAAACATACACAGAAGTCAAAGTGTTACAAAACCAACAACAATAACAACTAAAAAGCCTTTAAAATGTGTACTACAGCGGAGACACACGCTCGAAACTGCACCAAATATATGTACATTTTACTAGAAATTTTGAAATTTTACTATATGCCAACAACATCGAAGCACCGTTATATAAGCTTAATAATAAATATGCAACACAGCTCAGTCACATTTTTTGACATAGTTGGAGCTTTTCGCCTCACACATACATACTCTGAAAATAACAATTTACCAGAACATATCTTACGAAAATAACAGTTTTAGCTACAACAACAAATATTTTAAGCCTATATATATGCACATCATAACTTTTGCCGAGAAATTTTTATAAAAAATTAACAACAGTGTATTTAGATTTTGTTACTATTTGCAAGCAAAAACAGAAAAAATTTCAAAAAATTCAAAAACATTCAATTTCCAAACAACAAAAAAGCACAGCAACAACAAGTACAACGAAATTTTTAATTTTGCTAAGGTTACCAGAAATAAAATCAATCCTAACAAATGTTATTGAAAATTTGTCAAAAAAAAAAAAAAAAAAAATAAAGCAAAAAAGCCAGTATCAGCACCCCCACCAACCAACAACCAACCAACCTACCAAACAAGCAGACAAGCCAAAGTCAACTCTCTCTATCTCTCAAGTGCCTTTCACCACAAAATTCTTAACATGCAGCATTCAAAAATAAATCAAAAAAATATTTGTATTATAAAGAATTCTCTATATCTTTCTCAAACCAAAACCAATAACAAAACTAAAACCAAGCAGAAACAAACAACAAACAAAAATTTTGCAAACGAAATTACAAAGAAAATTAAGTCAATTTTGCACAAAATAAACAAGAAAAAATTTTCAAAAAAGAAAAATTTCGAAACTCAAAATTTCCAAAAAAATATTTTCGAAACTCAAATTTCCTCAGAAACAAAGCAAAGAAAAAATTAGAAACAAAAACAAAATAACAACAAAAAAATTGAAAAAAAAGATAAATGTTTTCAAACTCAAAAATGCAAATTCTCGATTGTTTGTCTGTGTGCAGGGTTAGCGACGACGACGACGATGGCGGCGTTGACGATGACAACAACAAAGAGCACAGCCGGCAATAACAGCAGTGAACGACTCCCACAAGAGCAGCAACTGCCAGCCGCCGCCCATTTAACAGACAACTCTAAAGCTACTACTAATTCTACTACCATTACTACTACTACTACTACTACTTTATTTACTACTATTTTGAAAATTATAATTTCTGCTAGCTTGCCACTTTTCTTGCCATGAGTAGCGGGGTAGCGAAAGCGTGCTGAAAGCATTGTTAGAAGAGTGTTGCAAAAAAAAGGAGCAAAAATTTGCAAAAAAAAAATCAGCAGTAGAAACCCTAAAAGTGGCGCAAATTTCAAACCGAAAACCAAAAATAAGCGGTTTATGCCACAAAATTCCTGACCGAGCAAGAACGCTTTGAGATTATGAAATGAGTATGCCATGGCAACTGCAAAACCAACCCAACCGCAATGATCTGGCAAGCATGGCATGAAAAATACAACAACAATTCGACGATTTCTCAGTAAACAAAAACGTGTGCTTGCAAGTACTTGAAATGTTTTTGAATTTTTTGCAAATTTTCAAAATCTAAATAAAAGCAAAATTTTTTAATTTTACTACTTTTTGTTGTTGTAGCTGCTAGGAATTGCGTATAATATAAAAACGTTAAGCGCAACACTGGCCTTTGTTTAGTAGTACTGGTAGTAGTAATAGTAGTATACATATGTATGAGTAGTAGTAGAGCGCGTGTGGCGAGCGAGCGAGTAGTGGTGGCACAAGCGGCAAGTGCGCAGTGGTGTTGTGTATGTGTGTGGCCAGTAGCAGCCGACGGCGTTGCCAACTGTTTCGAGGATTGTGTGCGGCGCTGCGGACCGTGGATCGTCCGTCTTGTGCAATTGTTGCAGGTATTATTTTCGTATATATGTACATTTATGTATATTTTATTTAAGTGTATATATGTGTGTGTGTGTGTGTGGGTAACATGACTCCCTACTCGTATATATTCGGTGCTGAAAGAAATACAATTTTTTTATTTTTTTTATGTGTTATGCTGTCATACATATATTTATAATTTATTATTTTAGTAAAAATATTAGTCTCGAGGGTTAGTTGAAGGCAGTGCGCCTAAAAATATGCGAACGAAAAATTAGTTTTTAGTCAAAAAGCGTATTGAGCGGAGCCTAAGGACAAAAGAGCACCCAGAAAATCGTTGTTTGCTTTGCAGTATTTATCCTTATAACGCTTTTAAATCATTGTAATGAGAACCGATAAACTGTATGAAGCTGAATCTTTTTCTATACAGTAAGTTGTTGTTATAATGCAACGGAATGACTTCAGAATTAAAGTTATATGCAATTCTTGCAAACAAAGCCTTTAATTTCACAAAAAATCAAAAACTATTACGATTAGTATCGCTTTCTTTAGAATATCGATTTTTTTAAATATCGATTATTTAGAAAATATCAATTTTTGAGAGGAATGAAAAGAAATTATCGAAACAAGACACACACAAATTAGATTTCACTAAAAAATCGATAAAATATTAAAGAAAAGTATCGATTCTTTTTGAGTATCGAATATACTTTTTTTGAGTATCGATTTTTTTGAAAATGCACGGCTTTTAAATCATAAAACACATATCTTTTGATTTTCCAAAAAATTGAAAATAAAAACATCGATTTTTACGAGTTTCGAATTTGATTTGTAGGAATATCGATTAATGGAAAGTATAAATTTTTCAATGCATATAAAATACACTCACATTAGATTTCCAAAAAAAAAAAAAAAAACAAAATCGAAAGAAATGAATAATAGAAGCATCGATTTTTTTTTATCGAATTTCGAATTTCCTTTGCCAAATATCGATTTTTTGGAAAATATAAATTTTTCAACTTACGAAAAAAATTTATCGAAAAAACTCACACATTAAATTTCACAAAATAATCCAAAAAATAGTGTTGACTTTTTTTTAGAATATCATTTATTTCACAAAAAAAAAAAAAAAAAAAAATATAAAAAAACATGTATAAGAAAATTATCGATTATTTCGAAAATACAATTTTTGAGAGCGAAAAACTGGCTTAAATAATAACCTGCTGTTTCAAAAAAATTTAACGAAAATTAAATAGCAAAAGTTATTAAAACATATCGACTGCAATAATTTGCTTTTAACATTATCGAACATTTAAAAATTATCGTTTATCGGTGAAAGACATCGATGGGAATTTTTTCGTTTTAGATATCACAGTGCTTAGGTACTCCGGAAGGAAATAAGAAAATATTCAAAATAAATGAACCTTGATACTTTGATATATCGGCTACTTGAAAATATCGACTAAAATATGACTAATATTTAAAAATATCTATTGAAATATATCGATAGAAATTTTTTAACGTTTAAAAAATTATCTGTATTTAGTAAATAACATTAATCTTCGAATCAATACTTTTCTTTTTAGATATCACAGTGCTTAGTACCCCAAAGCAAATAGGAAAATATTTAAGGATTTTTTTTTAATCTGTTAAAATATATGGATATAAATTCTTATCGATTAAGCGCAATCGTGACTAGAAAAATAAAATTAAACGGGTAGTTTGAAAAAAAAGTAAAAAAATATGTAATCTTTATCGATATAATTTTGGAATTTAACGATTATTTTTAGTTTATCGATTTTTTTTTAAATTGTTTTTAGAAATGCAAATATAAGGTGAAACCCAAGGAAGCAAAAAAAATATATTTACAGCAGCTTTTTATCGATAAATTCTTCTAAAATGTTAAAAATGAATTTTCTTAATTATCGATTTTTTCTTACCTCAAAAATAATAAAACTACCGCGAAAACCTAACGATAAAGTAAAATTTTTTCCAAGATTTTTTTTTTTTCAAACAAAAATAAAACATCAGCTAAAAAAATTATTTTTGTAACTTTTCAATTATTTTTGTAACCACCATTTACGCAATCATCTTAGAGCATCGCATTAAAACTAACTAGCGTTGTACAACAAAAGTATCACAAAAATTTTCTACTGCCAAACTCGATTGCGAGCCATAAACAGCGCATTCGTGCTATATTTGGAATTGAAAACTATAAAAATGGCAATAAATATTTATGAAGCGAACATTTGAAGTGTTGTTGCACCACAGCGCCAGAATATACACATAAGCTTCGTAGTATTTTTTCACCCAAACTACATTTGCAATTGACAACATTCTAAAGCGGTCAAACGAATTGTGCATACAAAAATGGCAATACACGTTTAATTGCAGTTGTTGGTGTTCTTGTCAGAGCTGCTGTGAAATGCATTATACTTACAGAGTTTGTGGTTTTTGTGTAAACGCTGTCAAAGGTCAAACGTGCACAGCACTTTTTTCACACACTATACATTTTTATATGCGCTCGGGTATTTGGCGAGGTCCTCTAACCAGTTAGGCAGGCAGTTAGAAAAAAGTTGCGCAAATAAATTTGAAAAACCAAAATGGCTGAATTTTCGAGTTAATTATGTTGAATGGGCATTTTCAGTTAGGCTTTTTGGTAAGGTAGATGTGACTGTGTGCGCAGTAGTTGAAGTATTGCAATTAGATATTTGTATGAATTAAACATTATTTCACATATTTTTGTTTTAATTTTTTTTGTTAATTTTTCTT